GGGTTGTGTTTGATCTCGGGGTGGCAGAGTGGGCATGGCCAGGGTGGGTATGGCCAGTTCAATGTCCCTTGTATCGGGGGCGCCTATGGTGGCCCAAGTGCTCTGCCAGAGAAAACGGGCTCCCGAGCTCTGTTTTCAGTTGTGACGGCCTCTGCAACCCTCTGCCAGCGAAAACAAAGCCACACATGGCCCTCCTGAGCTCCATTTTTGCTGGCAGAGGCACCGCGGTCCTTCGCTGTTTCCAAGGTGGCCCCACAGGCCAGATCTAAGTATCCCATGGGACGGATCTGGCCCACGGGCCTTGAGTTTGACACCCCTGCTCTAGAAACAGAATAAGAGAAATAAATTTGGAAACTAAGTGATAAGGGCCATAATCCTATTTGGCAAGCTGCATTTATCCTAAAGTGGAATCAGGAAAAGCTCTTTTGAAAGCCTCCACTATGTATTCATCTCCACATATATTAAAGATGTGGTGATAAAGTCACCAGGTTAGAAAACCAGAGTTTATCCTATTTTAGCCACAAAGCCAAATGGGTAACCTTGGACCAGCCACTCTCTCTCAGTCCTAAGAAGCAAGGAAGGGTAAACCACTTCCCAAAAAAGTGGTTTGTAAATTTCTTCTGACCAAGAAAATTGCAGAGACTAGTCCAGACAGTCACTAGGAGTAAAAAACAACAACAACAACAATTTGCACACAAAAAAGTAGCTTTTGCTATTCTTGATAGGGATTACAGATATTGAAGTACAATGATATGAAGAACATACAGCTGGGAAGAATGTTTTAAATATGGTAATATGAATTTATCTTTTAAAATTCACTATGTTTACACCATTCCTTTTTTATTAGGGCACAGTAGTGCCAAAAGGGAAAGCAGTCTTAGAAATTCTTCTTTTAATTTCATGTAATCTACAAATCCCAGCAGGCTGGTATTTTATTGATGACTCTCTAGAGCTTTTTATGAAGTAACTAAATATTTAATGATTTTTTTTTTTAAAAGAACCAGAATTGTTGGGGAAGTTGACATAAAGCTTGTATTGGATGAATCAAATTGCATAGAGTTTAAACTGATTAAATGAATATTTCAAAGTAATAAAATTACTGTGCAATTTTAAAAAAATGTAGCTCTAATAAGAGTTCCAAAAATAACTATAATGTGTGGATAAGATATTCCATCATGAAAGATAAATGTTGACATTTTAGTTGCTTTAGATTGCTACTGCTAATAATAGTGACAGTAGAATACAATTGGTTTATGGTATCAAATTCAGTGACTGTGAAAAATAAGGGAAACACAGATTTCCTCTCTGTGTCATAGAACTCTAACTCTATCACATTTTATTTCTGAAAAGTTTAATTTTTAGCTTTATATTCTATTTTACACCTTAATTCATTTTCCCCATCTACTTCCCTTAGAGAAGCCCCAAAATCTTCCATTAATTGATATTGTTTATGCCTTGGCATATGTAGCAACTGTTCCAAGACTTCCAGATTTCACTGAATATTTCCCAATAAAATTTTGGACAGTTTATCTAAAATAATAAAATGATTATTTTAATGCCGGAGTATTTTAACTACATTGGGGACCTTACTGATTTAGAATATGAATCTGCCTAATTTACAATACGATCCAAACCAAATATAATTTCATTCAGCTGCTACACAGTGTGATATGGAATATAAAATGATCCTGTACATTATTGGAGACTGTAACTATTTTTTGTTTCCTCTTCTCTCAGCTTACTGGGGCTGATTCTCAGCCTTAAGATACCCATAGTAGATTATTAAGATCTACCTGCTTACATAGTAGATTATTAAGATCTACTTACTTACTTACAGAGATAGGCTACTATTCAGCCTATCTCTGTAGGCTGAACTAGGAAGTTGTGGAGAGGAGACCCACTAAAGGCAGCAAGGGAAATCACTTATGTATTGTTGTTCAAAGAAATACATAGAGATGTCCATGAAGTCACCAGGTGTCCAACCTGACAGAGATTTTACCTCTCCTTGCTAATAAAACTTGTTACAGCTGTTCATTTTACAGAGAAATAAAGATATCCTAAGATCTAGGCCTATTTACAACCTTCTTAGGACACCAATGAGATAGTGAACATGTACCTAAACAAATCTTTTTCTTGATCAGATGGTTTATTGGAATATAAATATAAGTGATAGTTAGTATCTGTGTAAAGTCTATAAAACAAAGCATAAAATAAATTCATCTTCTCTCACACTGGCACATTCTTGGATCATTAAAACATCTTATATTGTACTTATATTGAATAATAATTTCAATAACAAACCCTGGAGTACATGTCAATTATGAGAAAAGAAAAAGATTTGAGGTATTCATGCATCCTGATTCCAGACTTCATGGATTTTCTTTTATGAAAGAAAACTAGGAAATAATTTTGCCCCACAACCGGAGATCCAATCCAGCAACCGTTAGAACTTAATTTTCTTCTCCTGGTGAAATCTAAGAGGCTTCAGAATGCTAAACTATGCACATGGTTACTGAAATATTAAAGAACAACATTTGTATCCTTAGGGCAGAAGTAGATGTCATGTTTAACACAGACTGGAGCTGAAAAATAGTAGTCTCTTGTCAATTCTAACCCCTCTCCATCTCCCAGTAGCATTTTAAGTCTATTTATTTGCATTGTGGACATTATTATATTATATTATATTAAATAGCAATAGCATCTAGACTTGTATACTGCCCCATTGTGCATTCTCCGGGTGGTTTACAATGTCAGCTTATTTCCCCCAACAATCTTGCTCCTCATTTTACCGATTACAAGGATGAAAGGCTGAGTCAACCTTGAACCCAGTCAGGATCAAACTGCTGGCAGTTTGTAGAGTTTGCCTGCATTGCTGCATTCTAACCACTGCACCACCCAGGACTCCTTAAAAGGATGTTGTAGCAGAATTTAAGAAGTAAAGATAAGTGTAATTGAACATTTTTGGAATGGTGAGAAAACTCAACACAGAGCTTTCACCTTCTAGAGCTCTTAGACATAATATGTACTTCTACCTTCAGAAACATTTTGTTATGTTAGTACAGATGTGACGAGAAAACTGCAAGTAAATTGTTAAGGGAAAATGTACTTCTAATTTATATTTTGTGCATGTAGCTATATGTGTGCCTACAATATTTGTACTGTTTGTAATGTTTGTCCATGGCCCTGATGTACAGTGCAAAAGGTAGAATGGAAGTTGAAAATGATGACATAATAAACCCAAAGAATTAAGGAAGAGGGATGACTATTAGCATTGTGTGTAGCTTTAAAGGGTGATTCCATTCAAAAATCTCCAAGGTCATTCAGGATATAGAATCAAGGCAGTGTCTTTAAATGATTTCAGAGAGTTTCAGAAACTCAATGGTTGTTGCGGCTTTCCTTCCATATGTGGAGAAAACCAAAGGGATTGGGAGCTGGCTGATGTAAGAGGCTGGCTGATACAAGTCAGTTCCTCATTAGTTTTATTATCTCCACAATCCCTACCTGTCAAAGCAGTGGGAAGTGTGTTGCCTTGATGTCTGTGTCTCTCTTTTCTGACATAATTTCTTTAAGAACATAGCAGGGAGGGAGAGGGAAGGAAGGAAGGAAAGAAGGAAAGAAAGAAAGAAGGGGGGGGGAGAGGAGATTTTCCTATTATTCTACTGCTCTTTTTTAACAATGTTTTTCTTGTCTTTCCCCAGATCTTTGTTTATTTTCATCTTTACTTTTTTTATCTCTCACTCTACCTAGTCTTGTGTCCTACATCTAAATTGCCATTCATCAATTCTTTCAGCTTCATCTTTCATTTCCCTTTGATTCTGTCTACCCCAACAAATATGCAATCCTTATGCCTGCCTTCTGCTACTTCACTGTCACTAGCTTGTATTGTATTAAGACTTCATTGCATGAATGAATCCAAGACTGCATGCCCGTTGCTGAAAAACAGTAGACAATGCAGACTAAATCTTTATAACATAGTGTATTGTGTATACCATTGTGACAACACCCTCATTATTTATTTAATTAATACATGGCCACCCAACTCATATATTTCTGGAAGGATAATAATTAAATCAGAGTAAAAATAATAAGAACACACAGAATTGGGGAAAAAAACCAGGAAAAGCATAGGATAGCAGCAGAGAATATTCATAAACACTCAAACTAACCACAAATTGGGCTCACCCATATTATCAAGGCCCTAGGACTGATGGCAAAGTCAGATTTTTAGTGGCTTACAAAAGACTAGCAAAGAAAAAAAACCAGGAACAATTGTAGACATTTTGATGTTTTCACATTGTAATATATTGTTGAATCTTTTACCAAATTGAATCACAAATCCTGAATTGATTAAATGGAAGCCTCTTTCCTTAGAAACTCAAATCCAAATCAGACCTTGCCAACTCTGAATTCTGAACTGTATCATGATTCACACATACCCATACCTATGTCAAAAGTAAAACTAAAGCCACTAAACTATGGGTAATCATTATTCAACTAGCTGTATAGGCATGTTAAACCAAGAGAAAACCATATATATATATTACTGCACCCTCTTTTGATGTTAGCAGAGTTTCTTCTATTTCATCTCTTTGCCATGAAACTGTATCTATCCTTGCCAAATGCCACCACAAACCTCATAGCCAGGTACAAGAGATTTACATACAGGATAAAGCATTAGTAAGGCTGTAGTTATCAGTCATAGTGAGAAACAAAACGAGCTGTGCTAATGAAGAATGTTTGCAGGGAGAGAATTTGCGCAGCTTCATTTCAGAACAAAGTAGTTATTTTGTAAAGCTGCATGTTACTCTTCTCCCCATTGACTTCAAACACTTGGGAGCTTTTTTGGAGCCCATATGTTAGGCAAGCTTCTACACTTTAACTTATTCCTATCTTTTATAGCATGACAAAGTATTCAGAATGGTATTAGAGTGGAATGGATGAGCGAGATGGGTGATATAAAAATGATTTCAACCCGCACGTAATAAACCTTTAGTACTTACAGCTGTCCTCTTCTTCGGTGATACATTTCACAACATAACAGGCGTAGATGAATCCTGCCAGCTTAAACAAAATGGGACAATATTAGATGTGCAGACAAAGTGGTTAGTAGGCTTGGCAGCGGCTTGTTCTTACAAGACAAATGCTATCCTCCTCACTCCCCCATTTTATTAAGAAAATGGCATGTGTTGTATTTAAAACAATGATACATTTCCAGCAATAATAATCTGCACAGGATAGGGCAATGTGTAATAATTGTCTGGGTCTACTGCAGTGGTGGATTTTTTTCCTTAATTTATGAACATATTTTTGTCACTCAGAAATAAATAGCAATAGTACTTAGTTATATATTGCTTCACAGTGCTTTACAGTCCTCTCCAAGCAATTTACAGAGTTAGCATATTGCCCCCAACAATCTGGGTCCTCCTTTTACCGACCTCAGAAGGATGGAAGACTGAGTCAATCTTGAGCTGGTGAGAATCAAACTGCTGAGCTGCTGGCAGTCAGCAGAATTAGCCTGCAATACTGCATTCTAACCACTGCGCCACCACAGCTCTTATAATATAATAATAAATTGGTATATAAGAATGCCTGTAGCTGTTTCACTGAAAGCTTGCCGACACAAGCAAAAGTCATGGTGTGTTTCCTACAACTCTTACAAGTTAAAAGATAGCCACTCAAATCTAAGGAAAAGGGTGAATGAAACACTTTTCATTCAGGGGAAATTGCTCCCTCTCGTTTCAACAGTCCATCCATCTGTGCATTGCAAAAGAGAAAACGAAAGTGGCTTTAAAGAGACCTCTGTTTATAAATACAACACAAATCTAGCATCAATAGAAGAGAATATATATATATATGGGTCAGGAGGATTGCACTGTGGCATCCTTGATGCTCTCTGAACTTGGTTGTTGGCTTGCAGACGTTTCAATAACCTGACTAGGTAATATCTTCAGTGCTCTGCACTGCATCTTCAGTGTGCTGAAGATCTTACCTAGACAGGTAATGAAATGTCTGCAAACGATCAACTGAGCACAGAGAGCTCCAAGGATGCCACAAAAACTACTCAAACAAGAAGTGAAAAATACGTTTTCAGATTACTAATCTTCCATTCCACTAGAATTCACAGCCCACTTTTAAATAAACTTATAGGTCCTGTTTACCATAGAGAAATCTATATAAAATTCAGAGTACTTCCCTTTTTTGCACTAAATCTTGAAGAAAGTAGCAGTATTCACCATTCCTGCCTTCAAGCTAGCTGTTAACAGAGCTGTTCAACTGTAGCAGGTCCAAGGCCATAAAATATTTTTTTTAAAAATAAGAAAATTAAGTAATTAATGTCATATTGTCATTTGTCTGGAGGTTAGTAAACCCCCCCCCCAAACAAAATCCATGTTGTTGATATTGTATAAAATGTAAATAAGTATCCCTTGACATGGCAGCAACAAGGTTACCCTGCTCTAGTTAGTAAATCTCTAGTGTAGAAGCTGCAATAATAATCTAGGACAATGTTTTTCAAACTTGGCGACTTTAAGATGTGTGGACTTCAACTTCCAGAATTCCCTAGACTGCATTCTGGGAGCTGAAGTCCACACATCATAATCTAGTGACTTTTCTACAAGAATCCATGGATCTATGGCATTAAACTTAAAAGTGAAAGGGGGTTGGGTGGGGAAATAAGGAAGAGTAGCTGCAAAAATGGGTAGGCAAAAACCAGAAAGTTGACAGATTCATGAAGAAGATGTTCAGTCTTGGAACTGGTGGGAAGAAATCTGATTACCCTGTTGCACTTGGCCTGGTTTTAGAGGGAAACACGATGTTTAAATGTAATACTACTTGGGCAGTATTATGAAATTGCTGCTATGGGCATGCTGAGGCCACCAACAGGATTAGATAGTCTATTTTCCCATTAGCAGTACAGCTTAAATCATAGGTGTCCAGCAGTGGTGGGTTGCCCCCGGTTTGCACCGGTTCTATGGAACTGGTAGTAAAACTGGTGGGAGGCTCCGCCCACTGACCCTGACATCATCAGAATGCTTCTGCGCGGAAGAGCGTGCATGCGAGTGAAGTGAGTGCACGTGTGCGGCCCCATTGCGAACCGGTAGTAAAGGTAAGTAGAACCCATTCCTGGTGTCCTCCCTTTTGGCTTTCCTGGGCCACACTGAGTGAAGAGCAATTGTCTTGGGCTGCATATAAAATATGTAACATAGTTAATATATATAAATAACAAACTTCTTTTATTTTATATATATTTTTATATTATTTTTATATTTTTAATATTATTTTATATATTATGGGGCCACATTACTACCTGTCCAGGGCAGCATGTAGCTCATGGGCTATGGATTGGACAGGTCTAAAAGATTTTTAAAGATTGCATTTTTTTTTCTTTTAAAAAGAAGCCTGCTCCATTATTTCTTATCTGGTGATCTAACAGTGAGATAATTACATTTCTGTGTTAGTTTATCACAGTATACTTGGCAACCAAAGCCATGCCTTTAGCACTCCCCCCCCCCGAATGATATGCATTAAGTCTGCACGCTTCCTCCAATACTTCATCATTATTGGAACCAGTTTTGGACTTTTGCTGGATTTTGTGTTTTGTAAATTATCCGAGACTTCATTTGCCATTACAAGATTTTCATGTAAATCAGAGTTGGGAAATGATAGCCCCTTTATGACTTGTGGACTTCAACTGCAGAATTCCTGAGCCACAAGTCATAAAAAGGCCATCGTTCCACAACTCTGATGTAAATGAAAGGAAGGGGGTTATGGGGAGATGGTCAGCAAAAGCTTGACTATAAAGTTTGCTTCATATATTACCAGGAAAATGTTATTCTTTACAACAAAGAGATTCTATTGACCCTTCTTTCAGTGTTCACAGAGATCAGAATGCATAGCCTAGGAAGTTGTGTGATTTCAGGCACAGCCATTTCTTTGTAGTAGAAACAGGTAATATTCATTAAGCTTCCATCACGAGGGGTTCATACTGACAATGGTTCACAGCACCAGAGTCTTGAATGTTCAATGAACATTAGAGAATTATTAGATTTTTTTAAAAACTCCCTTTAATGCTGAGAAGGTTTCCCAAGAACAAAAAAGGCAAGCAACTTGCGCTTCCCTTAAGATCAAGAAGAGTCTTATGCCTGCTCTTTTGGAGCTCCACTCATGCATTCGAATGACTAGATGTGGCTGATCATTTTAACGGCGGATGGTAAGAAAAATGTATTTCTTCATAGGTCACCAGCTGAGCTCCATAGAGCAGGAGTTCCCGACCAGCACACAAAGACTCTCTGCTGTGCTTTAGCACAGCTTGTCAAGCAGGCCTCCGAATGGAGCCAATTATAACTGTTCACTGAACCATCTCTTTTATCACAATTTCCCAGCTGGTGATCAACCCTAGATGGGTGTTCAGTGGCTGGTCTGCCCAGCTATACACTTTCTGACCTTTGGGCCACTAGGGAGAAAATGTTTGCATCTTTCCGCTCTCTCTTTAAGCTAGCCATTGGGAAGAACAGCAAATTAGCACAGATGTGCAGAGGAAGTGCACATCCCTGAGGTAAATTGGTTGAAAAATTCTGTTGAATACGTTGAAGAATTATTTTAATTATATCTAATAGGCGAATAAGAGACGCGCTGCATTATGTAAGACTTTCAGCAAGTTTGAAATTCAGTACAATTCTTACACTATCTAATAGTGTATACATAGATTAAAAAACATGTGATACTATTCAAGAGGTGTCTAAATCAAACTATAATAGTAAAGAACTACATTGTTCAAAAGGATTAGGAGAAACTGTAGTAGAATATTGTCATATCTCATGAAGAAAGCATTTTTTTCTCTTTTTGATTCCTGGGATTATACAGACTCATTCATTCTTAAAGCTGCCTTCTGGAATGCTTCTTAATTTCTCAGTCCAATCTACTTTCCTTTTATTTTCCTGGTAGCTTCCTAGCTAACCTTCTTAGCTTTGGAGGGATCTGCAAATTTAATGTTCTGTTCTGTCATTAAACAATTTGGCTAGTATTAAATGTGTTTTATAGAGTATATATTTTAGATGATTGTTTCCAGAAGGTGGTGCTGAAGGATTACTATTCTGCTTCAAGCCTGTTTCATTAGGGAGTCCCTCAGGGCTCCATTTAATCCCCCATGCTTTTTAACATCTACATGAAAGAGCTGGGAGAGGTCATTTTGGCAAGGGAGGGAGATACCATTGATATGCGAATGACATCAGACATACCTCTCCTTTTCATCTAACACAGGCCAGCTGTGTTTGGTGTTTTGAACCAGTGCTTGGGCAGGATCAAGGATTGCCTGAGAGGCAACAAAGCAAGATTTAATACATACAAAATAGATGTGTGTGTGTGTGTGTGTGTGTGTGTGTGTGGCTGTCCTGTAATGGTCTGCACTTGCCCTAAAGGAGCAAGCTGAAGAGGCTCCTAGATCTACCATTATCATTAGAGGCCCAGATAGCTTCTGTGGCATGAAGCATTTTTTCACCACCATTACTTAAAGCTCACTTACCAATTGCAACCTTTTCTGAACAGAGAAAATTTCACAATATTTAATAAGTCTCATGATTTTCTGGCTAAACTATAGGAATGCATTCTATCTGGAGCTAAAGTGGTCCAGAAACTTTAAGGTACAGGTAAAGGTTCCCCTCGTACATATGTGCTAGTCGTTCCAGACTCTAGGGGGTGGTGCTCATCTTCATTTCAAGCCAAAGAGCCAGCACTGTCGAGCCAGCACGAAGACTTCTCCATGATCATGTGGCTGGCATGACTAAATGCAAAAGGTGCACGGAACGCTGTTACCTTCCCACCAAAGGTGGTCCCTATTTTTCTACTTGCATTTTTATGTGCTTTCGAATTGCTAAGATGGCAGAAGATGGCAGAAGCTCACACTGTTACGCGGCACTAGGGATTCAAACCACTGAACTCCCGACCTTTCGATCGACAAGCTCAGCATCTTAGCCACTGAGCTACCGTGTCCCTTTTAAACTTGAGTTAGTTCAAAATAGAGAGGCTAGAGGACTCATTAGAATGGGCCACTATTTATATATTAA